GGAGGTGGTGCAGGCGTTGCGACAGGCCAAGGCGCGAGTGTCCAAGTTCCGAGCCAACAACGCTGTGGATCGTGTGCTTCGGCCCAACGATGTACCGGGCACGCTGCTCAACATGGCCATGCTCAACATCACCAGCGACGATTCGGCGCTGCGGCTCAGCGCCTACAACCTGCTGTGTGCGCTGAGCACCTCGTTCAACTTTGGTGCCAGCAGCGCCAAGAAGCGGCTGTTGAGCTCGCGCGGCCTGGCGCTGCCTGCCAACACCATGGCGTTTGTGACGGATTTGAGCAAGGACTTTGCGGTGGCCGCGCCTGGCGTGACGCTCGAGTTCCTCCTCTCGTTCTTTGACGGGTTCGAGCGTGCGGCGCGCAGCCAGAAGACGGTGTGCTTGCACTACCTGTCTCCCTGGCTGTCGAACCTGGTCATGTTTGTCCATACGTCTCGCGAGCAGCAGGGCGAGTACCACCGCCGCATCAAGGAGATCCTCAACCAGCTCATCAGCATCACCACCAAGCAGCCCGACATGTACGCCATCATGCAGCGCTGCGTGTGGTCGCAGCTCAGCCGGCTCGACGACCTCATCCCGACCTTCTTGGACGTGTTTGCCGAGGCGGCCATGGACTCGGGTCTGCACACGGAACGCTTCGAGGCGGTTCTGGATACGATGGTCTCGTTCGCCTCGATCAATCTGCGCGGCAAGCTGCTTTCGCGGCTTCGCAAGGTGATCGCCAAGACGGCGCAGAACGCTGTGGTGTCGCAACTCCATCTCAACGCGTCGTGGAAAGAGATCGCAACACTGGTGCGCATGAACATGGTGCTCTCCTTCACCAACCGCGTCGAGGCGCTGCTCTACCTCCCCGAGCTGCTTCACGTGATCCTCCTGCTGGCAGGCAACGGCACAGATGCGACGCGACACGCGATCTACGGAAGCGCCATCAACCTCGTGCATTCGCTCTGCACCGAAGACCAGCGCGAGGCACGCAAGCCGGAAGAGGCGACGCCGCGCAGCGCCGAGGCGGTGGCCAAGCTGCGTGCGCTGCTCGAGCGGCTCGCGGAACCGGAGGCGCTCAAGCTGTTTGGCCTTCCCGCCGCTTCGCAGGCGACAAGCGCCAATGCGGCGTTCGGCGCCTCGACGGAGATGGTGCGCGACCCGCCGGACAATGCGTCGATCGAGCGCCTGGCACTGCTCATGTACGAGGTCGCCGACGCGGCGGCTCCGAGCGTGGATGCGGCCAACAGCTGGCGCGCGCGACTGACGAGCCTGGTGACCAGCACAGCGTTCCAGTACAACCCGATCATCCAGTCGCGGGCGTTTGTGCTGCTCGGCTGCCTGGCGCAGGGCGAGATCGACGACGACCTGCTGTACCAGATCCTGGTGTCGCTGCGGGGCTCGATCTCGGAGTGGGCGAGCAGCAGCTCAGACATGCCGATGATCAGCATCGTGACGTGCCTGAGCAAGGTGGTGCGCATCCTTCCGACGCGCTCGCGCTATCTGCCGCAGATGATCTGGTTGGGCGTGGCGATGGTGCAGTGCGGGCATGTGCCGCTGTTCAAGGCCGGAGCCGAACTGATGCTCGCGACGGTCGAGACGATTTGGCAGCGGGGCATCCCGACGAGCGAGGGGTCGGATCTGATCGCATATCTGTTGGATGCGCGCTTCGAGTTCCGCGAGCTGGCGTGCAAGCTGGACGACGAGACGGGGGTGGACTTTGACATTAACTTTTCGTTTGGCATGGCGGCGCTGTTGGTCAAGGGGTTGCGGCATCCGTCGACCAAGGAGGTGACGACCAAGCTGATGCGTGCCATGCTGCGCCACTGCGGCGTGGACGCGTCGGGCGAGCGTTGTTCTAGCGATGGGCGGATTTCGGAGCGACAGCTCGGGTTCTTCGTTGGCTTGCTGCCGACGGCGACGCGGTTGGAAGAGTTTGGACAGCTGTTGGCGCTTGCCGGCGTGGAGCCTGATGCATGCTCAGCAGCGGTCGAAGCGCGTCGATCTGGATACAAAGGTCTGCAACAGTATCTGGACGTTCTCAACAACCGCATTGCGCTGTTGCTCGTCACGCTCGTCACGTCGTTACTGCAACATGCCGAGTCTGACGCCGAGCGACTCATGCTGTACGGATTCCTGAACGAGGCCGCGCGCGAGATGCCCGCCATCGTCAGTATTCTCTACGACAGTCTGGCGCCGAGCATGAAGGACGTCTTTGTCAACTGTTCCAACGGCGCCATCCTTGACGCCGTGCACGGCATCGCACAGACGGCGCTGAGCCAGCCGTTCTTTGCCGCCCAGGCACGCGAAACCGCCAAGCGCGGCGGTCCCAACGCCTACCTCGTCGAATCGGGCTACGGCAGTCTCCTCGGATGCGGCGCGTTCGTCCCGCTCATGGAGGGCCGCAGACACGTGCTGTGCAAACTTAGCATCCAACTCGTCCTCGGCCTCACCGACGTAGGCACCACTTAGGTTCCGGTATATCAGTGGTTAGAAAAGAGACGGTTATAGGGTATTTGCTAATCAGATTGTATGTTTACCCGTGCTTGTGATGGAGTGTGGGTCCAGATGGTGAGCAGGTGAGGTTGGGATGGGTGCAGTCCTACAAAGCATGGAGTGGGAGCACGCCAGACATGTCGAGCTGGGATTCAGTGCGAACGGGCGTGAATTGCATATCGCGCCATCGCGGTTGAGGTCGTGCGTCCTAAGCTGGATGAGGTGCATTGCGAGGTTGACGTCGACTGCCGGTTGCGATTCCTGGCATCGCAGTGGGGAGATTCATTCCGATCGGACAGAGTGGGCTTGCGAGTTCAGACACCCCATGTGGAGCATGCTTCAGCCCGAAGTATACGATCGAGATCAATGCTGATCTTGGTCTTCCTCTTGTCCGTATCTTGGAAAACGCCAGGGGCGTATCACCTCGTCTTTTCCTGGCTCACTCCGGCAACGATGCGCACTTCGAATCGGGTGAGTACAAGCAGACGATTCCACGTCACAGAGCAACGTTCGTGCGGCGTGCGGCGTGCGGCGCTGAGAGGCAAAATTTCCAGATGACTGCCAAGGTGGGGTCTTGTGCAAGTCCACAGCGCGAGCGAGACTCGACGTGCACGAGTCGATTCCTTCAGGCACCGCGGGAGTATTGTCCGTGGTCTGACGACTTGGACGTCTGACCAAAAGAGCGTTTGGTGCTTGATGCGAAGCCGGTAAAGCCCAAGCCGCGGCATTTATGGTACCTAACTATGCACCGGTCGCAACTCCCCTTGGTTGGATCGCGCTCCTTGCCTCTGTGATTGGCGCCGACACCAAAAGTGCAGATCGTGTTGCGGCGAATGCATTCGTCACAGCCCGGTTTGGCCACAACAAAACCAGGGTGAATGGGCTCGCCGACGCTGGGGAAGTGTCGTGCCAAGTAGCGCACTTCTCCGGCAGGTACGACAAACCGCTTGCCAGGACCTCTCACCTGATTCTCCTTGATCGGACCAGACCAAGCCTGTCCTGGGCCCAATGGCCACCTGGGGCATCCACCCTCCGGCTGCATCTCGGCTGCATCTCTTGCGCTAAGTGATTGCGTCTTCGTCTCCCAGAAGGCGTTAGGTGTCTGGTGAGATTGAGTTGGTGAGTGACTGCGATGCGGCTGGTGATGGTGAGATGGCGAATGATTGCCAAGCGGTGTTTGTTCATGAGCAACGGTGAGGATGACTGCAGGCAAGTTGCCGAGCTTGGGCCTTTTTCTGCTTACATTCTTGGCTGCAAGTGCTGGATTGACTGCAGTGGCAGGCTCGTTTGCACGGCGCTGCTTGCGATTGGCACCTCGACCGGTTTCCAGCCCATCTTCCGGCATCATCTCGGCCCCGCTGAGTTGACGCTTGGAAGAAGGACCAACACCACCACCGTCTTTCGGCGCCTTGGCATTCTTCCGTTCAGGCTCCTGCTCGGGGTGGAGATCCATGAGATCGAGGTCCTGGTTGAGCTGGAGTTCGAATCGGTCGAGCTCCTGCTTGGAGCGGGTCACGAGCTCGGGGAGTGCATACTTCAGCGCGAAACTGGCAGTATAGCGTTCGATCTTTATCCTCGCGCTGTGGAAGTTCTGTGCGAACATCGTCCTGGCATCGACGTCGAGCCATTCATCCTTGATCATTTCCCTCATGATCTTTTGGAGCGAATGGTAGCGATAGCTCAATGACCAATCGCGTACGGCGAAAAGATGGCTCTTTTAGTGTACCGCTGACCTTCTACGATTCAGCGCTCAGGTGCATTGTATATATGGCAAGGTGGGATGACAGTCACGAGTGCGGAATGAGTGCGGAATGATATGAAGGCGAGCGGCGATAGGATCGCCAAGCGTGAGTTCATATGCGGTGCGGTTGAGCTTACAACGCGGATGTTAGTGCTGCGCTACATACACGCTCCGGCGCAGCGCCGTGCACGTGCGGGTCTAACGGCGCAGAGAGAGTCTGTGCTGCTGCTGGAGCTGGAACTGGAGCTGAAGCCGGCAACGACGCGATGTGCTGGCCAGGGTCCCGTTGCGCCCAGCCTGTGGCCTGGGCCAACCCGCCTCTCCAAGGCGCCCCTCCCAAATTTGTCCATCCGAGCGACGAGTTGAATTTCGAGATTTGCAGCGTGAAGCTGCAGGCAATTCAAATTTTGGCCGCCATCGAAATTCAAGTGGGGGAAGGCGTGGGCGTGCGTTTGGGGCGGCGGCGCGTAAGTGAGCGGTTGAGAAGTTCTTCTAAATTTTCACCGCTCGACCCCTCTTCCTTTTCCTTTTTTTTTCGCGCCCCTGCTTGCCCTTTGCGGCGACATGCCCAGGCTCTGCTGCAAGGGTTCGCGCTCTCGGACCAGCGAGGTGCGACCAGGGCAAACGTGCCCGTAGCCACAGCAACCCCTCTGCAGCGGCTGCCTTTCTGGCCGAAAGTTTGCTCGAGGCGCCAGACACTTGGCGGGTGCCATTGGCGATTCGACGAGTCGCAGACATCTTCTGCAACACCATCACCCTATCTGGTATCCTCCCTCAATACATCGCCCATCATGAAGGTAAGGACATTCCTCACGCCGCATTTGCGACTCGATACCAAGATCATCTGCTCCACGCAGCAATCCGCACATCGTGGCTCGATTGCTGGTCTGGCGTGCGTGTTGAGCTCTAGGCGCCTATCCTCCTCGACTGGTAGCGCCCGCTCGTCTTCGCACGGTGCTGCAACCATCGCAACCAGAGCGTCGCGACGTCTCAGCACAAGCACGAACCGTATCAAGCTCGACTGAGCGCGGGCGTTTTTCCACCAATCTTCGGGGGACCCTCAGGAATCCGCCCGAGCTGGTTGCCTTCGTAGGCCGACAGCGCACCACGACCATCGACTTCTGCCTGGCTGTCTACAACGGCTTCTATGCCGCGATGGATTGTGCTCGCAAGGTTGCCGTGAGCGACTGGCGCATGCGCTACGAAGCGTCTCGCAAACACATCTAGGGCGCTCCACCGGCACGTCGAGAGCCGCAACTGTGTCGGCCCACGGGCGTGCGCGCGGGCAGTCCGGCAAAGATCGCTGCACCCACGCTGCTTCGGCACCTGATCTTGGGCATCGTGTCGCTATCGATCGAGAGTTCCGTGACTGACGCGTCTCTCCATCTGGTCTTTGCTTGTCCGCCCTACAGCTCTACACTGACGTCATCGCCAACGACGAGATGTGCTCGGACGGTTACGAGATGAAGCTCGTCGACGATGTTGTGTACGAGGTCGACGCTGCCAAGATTGTCGTCTCGGACGGTGATGTCGACATTGGCGGCAACCCCTCTGCCGAGGAAGAGGCCGAGGCGCTCGAGAACGGTGCCGAGCAGGTCATCAACATTGTCCACTCGTTCCGCCTCCAGTCCACCTCGTTCGACAAGAAGTCCTACCTCGCCTACCTCAAGGGCTACATGAAGTCGGTCAAGGCCAAGCTCGCCGAGACCAACCCGGACCGCATCCCCGCCTTTGAGAAGGGCGCCGCCGCCTTTGCCAAGAAGATCGTCGGCTCCTTCGGCGACTGGGAGTTCTTCACCGGCGAGTCCATGGACCCCGAGGGCATGGTTGCGCTCCTCAACTACCGCGAGGACGGCGTGACCCCTTACCTCGTCTTCTGGAAGGACGGCCTCCGCGAGACCAAGATCTAAACGCGTCTATCTGCATTCGCCCGCTCTCGCGCTCAGTCTTCTTGCAGCGCCACGTGCCCAGACGCTCGCTCGTGCGTGGCCCCGTGGGACCTCTGCTTGTACCACCAAAATACCTCGCTCACCTTCGCACCCTCTCTGTCATGACCCAAGTCAATTGACTGGATTCTGAAGTACCCTTGCTGGCTGTGGCATTCGAACCTCGTTTCTCGACTGAGACGCATCAACAAAACGTTGAGCACGTTCGCGCTTCGGCCATGTCTTGACGCTAGAAAGTCTGGCGACACCGCAGCTGGATTGGGACCCAGTGACAACAAGCAATAACATGTTCTCGGGGATCTAGTTGCTTGGATACAGTGCCAAAACGATTGATGATTAAAATCAGGGCGAGGGTAGGGCGAGAAATCGCCTGCAGAAAAAAACAGCGCTCAGGGATGAGTAGGAAAAAAAAAAGGAAAGCGACCCCAGGCGGGCT